CGAGCCGCTCACTATCCCAACCCCTGAGCGACAGAGGGATCGTCCGTAATGGCTTCTGGGATTGAGTCTGGTCCATGCCATGCCGCGACGGCACTGATCGAAGATGCGAAGTAAAAGTCTGCTGGTCGGGGATGAGGCGATGCAAGTGCCAGATTGATCAAATTGACGGCTCCACGGATGTGAGGTTCGAAGCTATTGCTCTGTTAGTCAATATTCATCGAGTCGAAGTGGACTTGCCTAGAAATGCCAAGGTTGAAGTTGACCGCCCAAGCGTTCTGCACACAAGATTGACGAGAATGAACCAAGTAGTGTCTTTGATGCTTACGTGAATGATCAGCGTTGCCCGTGTTGCGATCTCGTTGTACATGTCTGTCTGAAGTCCGAGCTTGTCGGTAGACAGGTCGGAAGCGAGAGCTTTGACACGCGTTTGAACCTGTTCATAGCGAGATAATAGCTTCCTTGTCTTCATGGAAGCTGTTATGCGACTGAACGCATCAGCATCGTCCTCTGCTCTGCACAGACAGTAAACGGTGGCCACAGAAGGGTCCGAAAGTAGTTCATCCAGAATATATGCTCCCAGAGACCCAGTCGCGCCAGTCAACACAACCTACATCAATATCGCAATCAGGCGTAGAATTTTTGGAAAGTGCAACAGGGAGCTTACTACGCGAGGGGTAACCGAGTTGCTTGCGGTTCCATTTGTTCCGTTGGCATGAGCCTGTTGCGTATAAGCGAAAGAGCTGTACTTCTCAACAAGTTCCAGCACGATCTCGAGCGAGCTTCGTTGTGCTAGAGCACCTTCATTGCCAGAGGACATTGCAATCAAGAGTCGAGCGATCCTGTATGTTTACTTTAGCCAAGGCTATATACAGCTTCATGCACATGAAGGGATAAACATACTGCGTGATGGAAGGATGTTCGAAAACAGTGTTGGGAGCCAGCTTCTTGCCACCTAGGTAGATCTCCTGCGCCGTTATTCAGCTCACAAGCAGCAATCAGCAGAACGTTTGAGCTGACTCTCTGAATGGTGTTTCGTATTCTGCTAGACTGCAACGAGTCTAACCCGAAATCGAAGAGGTCAGTATCATCTTCTAGGCTGTCGATAGGTCGATCGACCGTCTTGCCGATTACATCTCTAATGGCCGTCCTAGCATCTGCCTCATCGGTCAGTCGTCTCTTCCCATCCTCGTCGATGTCACCCTCTAGTCGTTTATAGACCTCATTGATAATGCCTTCGAACTCCTTGTACACCCGTGGTCTGATGATACTGCCCTTATCAGCACGAGGAATCACTGTGCCATGAGGGAGAAATACAAGTGCTTCGGACGCAAGCTGCGAATGCGAGGGAGCCTCAGCATTGGCGAGGGCGATGATAGGCGCGACAAGCTTAGCGAGCTCTGAAGAAGAGCAGTCTTTTGCAATTTCGGTTGGAAGAATCAGAGCTCCAATTTGAATGCGTCCGGCACCGAAGATGATGGCATCCGCAATATAGGGAGATGAACGAAGTGTGAGCTCCATCGGGACAGGATTCGTCTTCTCGCCGTTAACCTGGGCATGTTGTTAAATAAAAATCATCTTGATTTGGTTTGATATCCATACCATGACCAGGGTGTCGTCAATTCGCCCCATGAACTTGTATGCATCTGGGATAGTGGGATGCTTGATAAATAGATCTTTCGTTGCGTACGACCCATCGGGTCGGTTGCTCATAACCTTCACCGGTAATTAAGACAATATAATCCAATGATAGTATATATACTTGCCTTGTGGGGCCAGCCATCCAAAAGGAGCAGCTCATAGGTATCCCCGCCCAGAGGTTCGAATCGCAGGTAGTCGTTCACATTCGTATTTACATGTGGCCCCTTAGCGCGCGTCCAATTCCAGCCCTTATCGGTCTCGAAGTCCCGGAAAGACGTCATGAGCTGACCCGTTTCAGCTGCATTGAAAAGAGGTATGCTGAATGTCAAATTGCTCTGAACCTGTCAGCATATCACTCACTAGCGCCATAATGGCCTACCAGGCGGACACCCTCGTTGACAAGGAAGTCGCCGAGCTCGTCAGGACATGGACTACCGCCGAACATGACAAGCTTAAGGCTCTTGAGCACCTGTAGACCTTCAGTGGTCTCAGCGAGGAGTTTCAATGCTAGAGGAACGCCAAATAGTGCCTCCACGTCCAGAGCTTGCTTGAGAAGCTTGATAACGTTGGTAGACGTCAATGGAATTGATCCAGTTGGGAAGAGGTACAGTGGTTTTGCAGCACAGATTGCACGATAAAGATTGGCGTGGCCGTGCGCCTGTTCAAGGCAAAATAAGTGAATTCTGGTAAGAAATACATACAACATACATGATACAATGGCAAAGTCGTTAAACTTGCAAGACCAAAATTTATGAAGGAGTTGCCGACGGCCGCTTTGTTGGTTGCAGTAATCGGCTTTGGGAAACCAGTGGACCCGCTCGAGTGAATGACCGTTACTGGAAGAAGATATTCATCCTCCCACTTTAATGCAGGGTCCCATCGCGTCTTCTCTGGGTGCAAAGAACGAGCGGCTGAGCCGAAGACGTCAGATGAAGGCTGGTTGATGATCGTCACAGAACTGGGGTTGCTGAGATGTGTAAGAGCTGCTGTCGCGGAAGGTAATAGCGCGTCTTGCACTATCACGTGGGTTGCATTTGTCACAGTCAACAGGTGAGCAATTGCGGAAGGAGAGTTATTCGGCGATAAGAAAAGCACGCCTGTAGAAAGATTGGCAAAGTCAGAGCAAGACTTCCGTGTGTTGTTTACTAACAGTAGCCCATTCGATAAAGTGCCATCTCGGTGACTACATAACTGATGTTGCTAATGCCTAGAAGTCCAACGGTCATCCTACTGGTAATATCCCCTTTGGAACGTCCATTCAACAGTCCATTGTCCCGTAGGTGGTGGGCAAACAAGGACGCTGAAGCATCAAGGTCGGCTAGAGTATACTTGACATACTTCACGGCTGCTGTGAGTTTCACAAACATAATTTAAACAGTACATCGTACTTACATTGAGGTTCTTGTCTGGTATGCCTAAGATCTCAAGGTTTGGGTAATTGCGAGTGCGTTCAGCTATGAGGTGATTGAACGAATATATCGTGGACATGATACTCAGGTTTTTCGGTCACTGCTAAAGGGTATCTGAAGAGTATCGCCGTTATTGCGGCAACTTCAGATCTGTTTTAAAGAGTCAGCTCAGTAAATTGATTGTGCAGTATTTGAACCGACGATTTCCGGTATCGCGGACATGTCACATGGCGGCCGTGATGGGGGCCGGGCTGGCGGTCCGGCCAGGCGACCACACCTACTAGCACTTGACCCACAACCACCTAGTTTAGTCCTCTCAAGGTCCTCTAACATTTTCCGAGCGTTATGCGCTCTCACGACAGCAGTCAAGATGTCAAAAATTGTGCGTCTATGGTCTATCATGATGGAAGACCAGGCACTCGTACAAAGCTTCGCTATACCTCAGAGGTACCGGCATGCGTCCACTCCTCTCAGTCGACGAGAATTCGTGGTACGACAACGGCTTGGTGAACACAACGCACGTTTGAGTTAGTCTAGGCTGGTCATAGTATACAAACTCACTTATTCAGTGTGATTGCTTGAGTGCTGCATTGGATTTGATCTGACTTATAAATAATTGGCCAATAGTCTCCTGGCATTCGACATTGAAGTTGACAAGTTCCTCCTTTTTGAATAGCGGGTGCCTAATAAACTGACAAAGGTGAACGGAGGACTTCCGATTGGACGTAAAGAAGTGAACTATCAGCAACCCGCAACTTGGATTGGTGAAACAATTCGATAGATGGGCTATTTCCACATCCTGCGGGAGAAATGCTGGAGAGTTATCCATGGCGCTCGATTCTATCACCTGGCGCCATTTAAGCACGGGGCGGTACGTTTTGGATCGTCGGAGTGAGCCGTCGTGGGACGAACTAAATAGATCTGATAAAGTCTCGTATCAGTCGGATTTGTCTAGACTCGAGGATCAGCAATTGCTGGTCAATAGACAATGGTCATTTGGAAGAGAATTGGAGGGGGATGGATGTGACATACAAGTTGCTGTCTTGGCACGCTAGACAGCAGTGTCCCTGTCAGATAGAGCGTCGGTAGCTGTCGCAGTCATGGACTTGAAGGCATCAGTTGAACTTTTGGAAGTAGTGGCCCCAAGTTACTAAGCAACTAGTGGCAGCCACTAGTATAGAATGTCATTAGTCAGTAGCTTTCAATCGGTAGTCCAAGGATCTGAGAGCTCTTCCGGGCCCTGGCTGCCAGATGCCCTCATGATCATTGTTGTATCAACAGTCAAGTCTCGGGACAAAAGACCGTCGGAGAGTCCTCGGTTCCCAAAAGTTGCGTCACTTTAAGGTACGCGACTATCTCCTTCAAACATATTCAATTCCCGAGTTCAATGAAAATTTCGTGTAAGTAGTCCTTCTCGAAGCGCTCACTGGCACCAGCTGCCAGGGGTCACACCGTTGGCATAGGCCCTCCACTCATTTATCCCTTCGGCTTTAAACATATGAACACCTCGACGCTGCCCTGTCGACCGTCATCAAAATATCGTATTACATAACATATCACACGTGTATAACGTCGGGGCCAAGTACGGTATCCATGATCATGATGCAACACGCATGTATCATTCTACCGCGGTACGATTAGCGAGTCATGGTGGATTCAAGCCTGATGTGTGCACCCGTCTCCCCTTCGGACAATTACAGGATGGTGTGGTTATCGAAATAGGTCTCTGTGTGAGTATCTGGGACTGGGTGTAAGCACACTGACCTACTAGAGTTCCCATAATCTACATAGTTAGTTGTCCGGCCGAGTGATACTTAAGCACACAACTTGGTATCACTGTGTAACAATTAAGCCTCAGACTCGGAAGTCGCCTGTCGTGAAGTGTCGGGGGTTATTGTACACGCAGCGCAGCTTAAGCGGCGATTGCTCGCGAAGTGAAACAATTAATTGCAGGGAACCGACGACGTGAAGATTGCATCGCTTCGAGTGCATAGGCTACATGCAGTAACACAGCCGGTCACTTCACATCTAACACCGCTTTCTTTCAGATAACTTTAGCATTCTCGACAACAGCGATGCAGTGTAAACCTCCATGACTTATCCTGACATATTCATATCTCTCCAGCTCGCTCTGCATATCATATTATCCTGTATCCTAAGTTTCACTGTCGCCCAGAACCCAGTCGATGCATATGCTCCGACAGTCAATGTCAATTGTCCAGACACACCTAACTCGCTCGTGCGGACCTTCACATCACAGACTCAGGTTCTGAACACATCAGAAACGGATTATATTGCGTCCAGGGAGTCCCTATATAATCTCAAACGCGTGGTCTAACTGGCTTGGCAACGCGTCAGATATTGGATACTCGAAGGTTGGGTCAACCATTGGGAGGCAAATTTCCCAGAATTGGCATCGCCAGTCGGAGGCGAGGGATACCGCACGGCACAATATGGCGCAGCAGTATTGTCAGGGTTGGATTGGAGAAACACCACCGCCAGAGAGGCGGGGACCGGAGGACTGCTGCAAGTCGCGTCTTACCTCTCGGCTTCGTCTGGTAAGTATCCTATCGGACAAATGCTCATTGCCAGCTTTGATGATGCTCACCACCGTTATCTTAGGCGGTTCATGGCTACTCGGGTCACTTCTGATGAACGATTGGCCCTCAATCAACGAACTAGTTTATGGGAATGGAGAAAATCTTTCGTCATGGATAGTAGACCTTGACTTAATTGTGCCATCATCGCCATCAGTCAGCGATGGAAAGAACCAAGAGTATTGGGGCAGTATCCTGGCGAGTGTCGAATCAAAGGCAAATAATGGACTGTACGTTACTTCACGGGAACATTGTACACCAATCATCACGCTGATACTTGCCTTTTCAGTCCTACCAGTGCGACTGACCTATGGGGTCGGATGATTTCATATCACTTCTTAAACGAAACTACGCGAGAAAACTTCTATACCAATCAGACTGGCCACGGCGCTGGTCAACTATGGTCCCAAATGTCTCTCCTACCGAATTTTCAAAATTACACAATGCCATTCCCGATAGTAGCCACTGACTCACGCAAAGCGGGCTCAGGGATAACCACGAATGTCCCCCTGAATTCAACTGTTTATGAGGTCAGTACTTAACACATAAGCGCAGGAACGCATCTAGACATGAACGGTGTAGATTACACCTTTTGAGTTCGGGTCGTGGGATCCAAGTCTTTCAGCCATGCTACAGCTGAAATATGCTGGGACTTATTTGACAAACTGGTCTTCCGGCGAACCCGTCAGCTTGCGTTGCTGGTTTTGATCAGGCGAGCTTTGTTATGGGTACAAGTTCTAGTTTCTTCAACGTATGTTATGTTATTACCTGGGAATTCCTCTGTTCTCGACCTGACTTACTGTTGCAGGCGGTCTTGAATGTTACCTGACGGTAACTTTGGGTTTGATACCTCTGACGGAGATGAACAAGGCATGAACTTTATTTTCAAGCAGTCGTTATCGCATACGCCTCCAATGTCATGAATGCAGCCAATTGGCCTAACGTTCGTATCATGATCTCGACTCGCAACATCCACCTGACTGTATCTACAGCCATTCAAGGGTGTCAATCCTGGTACTTTTCAAGACTCATCTGCAGACCAGCTCGAACTTCTTGACGGAGGTTCAAACTACGAGAAAGTTCCCCTTAGCAGCCTACTTGTTAAGGCTAGGGGACTGGATGTAGTAGTCGTCGTTGACGGTAGTGCGGATGATCAATACCATTGGCCAAAGTGAGACCTGCTGGCAATGTACGATGAATAAATACTAACTCCTGCTAGTGGTACATCACTGCTAACTACCTTCGAGCGGATATCATCAGTGCTCTCGTCTTCGCATCAACCGATGCCACCCATACCTGGAACTGCTGCTCAGTTTGTTTCCACAGGCGTCAATATGCGCCCAACGTTTTTTGGCTGTAATCTCACTCAAGGTCAACCCGATTACCCCATCATCATATATCTCCCTAATGCGCCTCCGTTGGATGGAAAGGCGCCAGCCACGAAGTACGCCGCACGTCTTACATCGTTCAAAGATAATGCTGATATCATCTTGCAGCACTGATGATATCCAATTTTCCTACACATCCAAGTTCACGGCCGTGTTCATAAATCAAGCGTTCTGGAATACCTTGGGTGGCTTCAAACCAAACACAACTTCCTCTGATCCGAATTGGGGGCGATGCTTGCAATGTGCCGCAATTGATCGCGCAGTTACACCACGATCAGATATCTGTTCGCAATGCTTTGCGCAGTATTGCTACGATCCAAACAATCTTACAAGCCTATCAGAACTCCCAGGTAGAACATTCATATTCGAGGACCCTGATCCGAGCGGTCTGGAGAAAGTTGCACAATGGTTAGAAGGCGATAAGAGTTTATTGGCAGGGTCCATTGTTGGCATCATAGTGGGTATTGCAGGGATTGTCGGTTTCATGTGAGTGATCACAACTATCTGAACTTGATGACTTAGTGATTGTACGTAGTTTCTGGTGGCGGCGGAGGAGAGCACGCTTGTCTAGGTATTCTCGTGTCGACGAGCTCCGAGAGGATGACGAACCTTGGAAGTACTATGGTAACTCGTTGGAATTGACGCGTCGAATGTCGATAACATGATGCTCTGAGGTTATCACTGCACATATTTCCTGCATCACATACTATGTTTCATGTTGTACTACTGGACACTGGTACTGTTGTCATTATATACCCCAGAGTCGCACTAATAACACGTTAATTAACATGCTTGGTAACTCGATGCTGCCGTCTATATAGTACACATCGTAGACAAATCTACGCCGTGATCGATTGAACCTGATGTTGATGAGATCGATGGAGGGCGACGCACTTCGGCGGCCTTCCGACTCCGTGAGAACTGTATTTATTCAGTTATATATGCACTAGCTACGTTGGCCTCACATTGCAAGTGCTATTTGCATATCAATTATCAATTTTGGCCGCCATCACGCGTCCCGCTTGACTCTTGCCTTCCAACGCCGTCATTCCGTCGTGCGGCTGTCAAGAGTCGTTCGAAGGTACACCACTCTGAGCTCGGAGTTAACGTGAAGCACCTTCCGCTCAACATAAATTACACACTACCTCGAGCTGTGAACCGCGGATGGTTGGGGGACTATCACCAGCAACCAACTTTACAGCTAGGACATCAACTTGAAATCCATGAAATTTGAGGATCCAAAAAGATTACATAGGACCTTCCGAAGACACCCTTTGCAAGCCCTTACTCTGCACCGACAACAGCAGCTTGGAGCCCCCTGTGTGGAAAAGGAGGGGAGAAATAGCAAATGTACCGTTGAACTTCGATATCACAGGATAAATTGATGGTGGCTGGCTTATTACCTACTAGTGAGTGTGAAGTTTCTCCTTCTCCCCGTCCTGAGTCCTCATCATTGCATTGCGTTTACCTGTGAAACAGGTAGACCATCCACATGGTAACCTATGGTGACCGCCGCAAGCAGATTGAGATACAATATTCATTCTCAAACTTCAAGGCCGTTTTGACCCCATAGTTCGACAACAATAATGATATTGTCCACTTAGGTGAAACAAGATCTGAACATGGTTTCACAGGCATACTTATAGTAAAGCTACGGAGCAAATTCCTTTCTGCATGAAATTACATTCGCTCGCCCCCGGTATCAACCTCCCCGAGAGTTTCGCTATGGCATCTCGTTGAATTTTCTTTTCTCTTTCGTGTCCTCTAATTCATATTCGGCCACGTTGCACTTGCCCCTATAAAAATACAGGCGATGGAAGTTAGAACTTGCACCTGGAGCAATGACCGAACTCGTACACAAATCGGGAGTCGCCGACTCGGAGGACCATCGCCATTATCGCTGCACGGCTCTTGTCACAGGAGTACCTATTCTGAAAGGCCCGCGGCACGAATGAAGAAAAAAACAGAAGTCAAATACCTGTAACAGCCGCCATGCCTGACAACACTCAGTACTCGACCAGATAGTCATGCTATCGGTACTGAGAGCACTTACATTCTTTCGGATATGTTTCTGCAGCATCATGTTGTTTTGGCGGCGTAAATCTCATGGGACGCCTTGGAGCTGGTGAGGTGTGCCAATTTGCCGTCACACAATACGCTGATACTCAGTTGGGGTGGTGAACTATTCATTTGTGTGCCGATAATTGGCATCTAACTGTGGTAACAACGTGCTTTGATTGTTCCACATTGTACGCTTCCACAGATTACCCCCTCATACTAGTCACCCTCGTGATTGACACCACATGCCATGGTACAATTTGACCACCGCGACCACACTGGGTGCTTTAAGACAATCAGCCCATCCACATTTCAACATTTCAAGATGCGCTGTGGTCCTGCCAGACAACTCTTTAAGTAGCGCGTCTGCTCAATCCCTTCTTCCCATCGTTTCACCCTTCTCCTCATAACTAGTCCAAGCTGCTTGGCTATTATTCCTGTCTAGGCTCAAAGGTCGCTCTGAATTTGATTACTCCTTCATCTCTATCAGCACCCCAATTATCGAGTGCTTTGCCCGAAGTGCCAGACGTCATGTCTCTCCCCGTGCCTCTCATCTCTCAGATCGTGGGGGGAATCAACATCAACGCGGCATATTTGACTTCAGATCCTCTTCACCCTCCTTCTCACTTCGAGCTAGGCCAATCCTCCAGGCGCAGAGGCATCCATCCCGCAACTCCCTCTACTGCCATACGTGAACGGTCCCTTTCGTATCTGGCGCCTTCTGTCAGCGGGAGGTTTTGCCAGAGCTATCGGAGCTGAAGACATAGCATCAGGTCGCTTGCTGTGCCTCAAGGTTTTTGCGAAGGACACACTCAAGTACCATGGTACAGGAAAGGGTCTCCTGAAAGAGTTGGAGGTTTACAAGCGTATTGCGTCCTCGAGGCAGCGCTGTCCTGCAACGATATTCTTGATGGAATTAGAGATGTCCTTTCAGACAAAGAAAAACGTTTGTTTCGTCATGGTATGTGCTTCTCCCCTGTGCGCCATTTGAGCTGTTTTAATCCGTTGCAAATACTTAGGATCTAATGGCGAATGATCTAACATATTATATGGACATCGAGTCTGCACATTGCGTCAAGAATGCTCGCAGGTGGAGCGCACAACTAGTAAGTAGCTGTTGTTCTTGGTTTTCAATATCTCACCACTCCCCCTGAAGGCGCTTGGCATCAATGCTTTACACAGCATGGGCATCATCCATCGTGATATCAAGGCAGAAAATGTTCTGATCGATATACGACAGAACGTGCGCATTGCTGACTTCGGGCTCAGTTATATCGGCGAGCCAAAGCCTCTGATTCCATGGTGGGATTATTCATCCAGCGTCAAGGGTACTGAACATTGTATGGCACCTGAAATCCTGCACAACATGGAAGAACCGGATTCTATGAAATACGGGATGCCTGTGGACTGGTGGGCATTCGGATGTGTCCTGTACCAGCTTGTTTTGCCGCCGGCCCATAAGGTACGTGTTGTGTCTTGCTTAGTCGCCATCTTACTGATATAACCCCCAGGAGCTCTTTGACGGGAAGGACTCCATAATGAAGTATGTTGCTTGGCACGCTGAGCATTACGGAACATTCGACTTGTTCCCCGCGTTTCATCAACTTGATTCCCTTGTGGCGGATTTGCTCGTAGGGGTAAGCTTTTGACTGTCTATGTTATAATGCTGTCACTTACCTATACCGTGATAGTTGCTCCATCCCCTTCCCATATTGCGGTACGGGTTCCAACAGATTACTAGTCACTGGTATTTCTTAAACGAAGATGGCACATCGGAATTTCACGGGGCCTGCTCTCGCGGTAGGTTCAATTTGATTCATCTGCGGAACATCGTACTTATAACTTATTGCAGCTCTCCAGCGCGCAGAAGAGCCAGAGATGTTACCGCACTTGTGGGATGAAGAGACTAGTGCCCAACCAGCAAACATCTGGTGCGCCGAACCTCCTGGGATGTTTATGCTTCCAAATGTGGATTGGAGAAAGCCCAGGCCGTGAATCGTTTCTTTCCTATGATGCTTCCAGTTTGTAACGATTTCATCACGACTTTCTCTATATCAAGCTCTCCATTCTACTGTGCCTCCCTTCTTGCTACAAGCAATTCACATTCATTTATGTACCGTAGTTTCTATGTTTCTGTTTGCATACATCTTCAACACTCTTTATTCTATTGTTTATTTCTTATCCCAAGGGGTCGGCGGACTGAAGGTTTTACTCTCTAACGATAGCTGATTTGGAAGATTGACTAAGATACAGGAGTAAAGCCGGGCGCGCATGATATTGCCAGAGTACGATGCTTCACTCAGGATGTATCCCTATTCTAGAAGGTGTGTTGACCGTGGCCAGAATATTCATGTTAGGCAATTTCCTCTATGGCGGCAGTAATGACCCCCGCATTGATAAAATAGATACCATCAGGCTTACGCACTGCGTGTTATCAAAAAAATTCGACAGTAGATACCTGGCTGGAATGTGAGACCAGGGTCAAGTTTTAGCCATTTCTGGACCTATGGTATAAACCGGCTTCCAGACGGTTGATTTTCCGGATTTCAATCACCTCGGAGACATGGTTTTGCCATCAAACTTTCAAGTTCGAGCCAGCTGCTACCATAGGTCCAAAACGACACCATACGTGTATCTAACATTTTTAACATATATAAGCACGGCGTACGGAGCGAAACTTTGATCCCGCGGAACCAACCCGCGTCTACCCCACGTGCGCGCTCCACTTCAAGGAGCCCCTTTGAGGCACCACTGAACACCACCAATCGTTCGAGCGCTCCAGATGATTCTGCAGTGTCCCTCTACTCTCCTTTCGGGCATTCGATTTAATCTTTGCTAATGTCTGTCACGGTCGTCCAAGAGCTTCACTTGCACTTACCGTTGTTCGAGTGCTCCTGCATTCCAGTGTCGAAGTTCGACGCCCATAGACCTCGTATGTCCATCATGTCTCCGGAGACGCATCCGAGCAAACTCCCAGCTACCTTGCGATGTTGCAAGCCACACGTCATACTGCCTTTATAATATAGTACATATACATCCGATACCGATACATCCCGTAACACAATCACTTTCTGGGCATGGAAGCAGAAGTACGCCATCCAATTTAGAGTACACGGATCTTCCATTCGTCTTTCGTGGTGCAACCTTCTGTGATGGTCTGTGGAGCGGTTGCAGACTGGAACCCGACCCTGAGCATGGTCTCATTGTGAACGAACCGGCCTTGCGCATACAAGCAGGTGCTGTTCTCAACAGCGGTGCCAATGGTCGCGCCTTTCTGCCAACCATGGCGCTTGAAATAACAAATCTCTTGCACACGGCTGTCCACGGTGATGTAAAAAACGCGGATCTGTAATAGTGAGATGAGAATGAGACTACAAGGCACGGAACGGTTAGTCTCAAAACACACACCTCTTCTAAGTCGTTACTCGCCACGGCTGCGATGGGCGTGTTGATACGAGCAGCAGGTATGTTGCTGTTCGTGAGTTTGAGCAGGGTATAGGCCGTGCTCTTCGGGTCGTTCAACGACATTTCGTAGATTTGGTAGTCTTTGTTTTGAAAGTAGACGCGGAATTTACCCTCATCATTTTGCACTGCGTTCATCGTGGTCCCGACGAAGTGGGTGGGCAGAAGGTCGGACATATTCGTGGACTGCGAGACAGCTGCTGGTGCGGATATGGTTGCTGCAACGTGCGAGAATGAACGTGAGAAGCCATAGACGTGCTGCTAACTGTGACTCACTTTTGTAGAAGGTTGTTGAAGCGATGAAAGTCAAGTATCGAACGAGTCTTGCTTTTAAACCTCTGGGAAACCCCTATCCGGAGAATAGTGCGGACACTAATAGTTTTTTGCTGGGAAGAAAATGAAATAGCATGGAGCCATCGTGGTGTCTGGGCACAGATATGACCGTCATCCACAGAATCTGGAACAGAAGATGGGGTCAGCGTAGGCGCTCAGGGTGATATGCGCACCCAGGCCCGTAATCCAACAGCCTTGACTACATAGTCAGATGATAGTCAGTCACTTTGTTCACAGGGCGGTGCGTCACGGACATACCTCTAGATCAGAAGTGCTGAACATACAATGATAGCGAATCTCGCCTCGGCGGCAGAGCAAAGTGGATTGCTAATTCAGAAAACCGCTGTAAAATAAAGGCCACTTCATGAGTAGCTAGGCTTGCATGCGATCCGGTGACCATGACTACATAGTCAGATGATAGACAATTGACTCATAGGACAGTGTATAGTACCCTTCCGAGTCTGGGTAAAAAGTGCTGAATGTGGATATTGTTAATTCAGAACAGGGGCTGATTCTGCAGTCTTTCCATAGAGTCAACAGCTGTTAGATAGGAACAACGGCCATGTCGTAGATAGCCAAGACATACAAGCATATACTAGTATGCAAGGCATACGCCGTTGTATCGATATCGGTTGCAAAGTAGGAAGGACAGGGAGAGACCGTGCCTGAACGTTGAACCCCCCGTCATTCTCCTAGGCGTGTCGCTCTCGGTCTCCAACACATTTGAATACGAATGAGAAGAAGTCTCCGCGGTGTCTGGGCACAGAATTGCAAATGCGCAATCCAGAAAATCTGACCAGGGGGCCAAGATGCGGACATTATGTGCCATGAAATAAATGTGATTTCATGCATAGCACGCAGGCCTGATCGTACTGACGCAGGGACTATGACGACACAATCAGATGACGAGTCCTAATCAATCCATCCATACGAGTGACTTCAGAAGTGCCGAACCTGCAATAACAACGAACTTTGCATGGCACAGCTACTAATATTGCGAATTTGGGAAGGCGAGGCTGATTCATGAAGCCCGCATCCTGACTGTTGCAATTGTCGAACAGAGTTGAGAGACTATCATACGGACCCTACTATGTGTAAACGTCACTTTTTCAAGTTGGTGTTTGTCATGAAGAAGGAAATACAGACTCGCCGGAGCCAGAGTGAGGCTACACACTCAAGTCGTTCTCGGTCCTTGATACGTTCGAGTATTAGAGCTCAGCGTTGTAGATGTCGAGGTTGTGTGCATCCGACTGCGTTGATCATATCGTCCTGTGATGACATGCTGAATTTAGGATATCGCCCAGCATCGAAAAGCTATAAGAGATGAGCTGCTCCCTTTCATTTTCCTCATTCATAGGTCCCTTCCGCCTCAAGCTGACTCTCTCTCCTCCACAGTCGCTTCCCCATAGTATCACATGGTATAAAATGTTGATGCCACTTGATCGCTACAGCTCTGGCAGCCTGACTATATACTAGACGCATGCACGCACGCACTGGCGAGGGAGGGGCTACACGAGGTATTCGTCGGTGGTCGAGATAAAAATCAACGGAAGCTAGACTTACAGAGAAATGATAGACATTGTTGGCTTCTGTCAAGATTGGTTTCTCGCTGTTCTGTATTATGGCTTGCGTTGGTGCTGGCAAATTCGGAGTAGATGAGAGTCGCTCACATTGATATTGACGGAGGTCGGAGCACTGATGACCTGCCCATTCTCGACCTAGGCTCTGAAGCAAGCAAGCCTATACAATATATAAGCAACTTTCAAGACTATTGATCTTTGTCGGTCATCTTACTGGGCCGTGTAGGTTGCGGTTGCCCAGTATGGACCTAGAAAGAGGGCTCATATGCAAGTCGGCAACTTGGCAGCAAGAGAATAGGAACACCCAGCGAATTTGCTGACCCTGAAACAATGGCAATGTTTTAGAAGAAGTCCTCATAGAGGCCGTCCAGGCGAGCATGATCGTAACCTCCTTGCCGAGGTCATTGACTCATTGCTGCGAAACGTTGGGTGAAAATTTTGTGCAAAGCGAGATCACAGACACATCGGGGTGAACGATATTTAAAAGAGGTTTATATGTTGTACAAAATGTGAAGACAATATTTAATATTTAAACTAACATAAAGATGGGTGCACAACTTCAAATTTTGGTGGTGTTTTGTGTGTAATCCAAAATATCAAATATTCACAACCATATTCCCACAGACAATATGTCAACAAACATAAGAAATATAGTCAGATTTTTCATGTCTGCTTCAACTTAAAGTTCAATTTCCATGTAAAACTTTGGAGAAAACTTGAAGTTTTACAGATGACATGACATTAAAACTCGATTTAAATGTCAAGCTTTGGCAAAACTTCAAGTTTTCTCCAAAGTTTTATGTAAGAATCAAACTTTAAATTGAAGCAGACATGGAAAATCTGATTATATTTATTATATTTGTTGACATATTGTCTGTGGGAATATGGTTGTGAATATTTGATATTTTGGATGACACACAAAACACCACCAAAATTTGAAGTTGTGCACCCATCTTTATGTTAGTTTAAATATCAAATATTGTTTTCACATTTTGTACAACATATAAACCTCTTTTAAATATTGTTCACCCCGATGTGAGATACTCACAACTGGAAGGTCAAATTCACGGGGTGCGAAAGGAGAATGCGGAGATCGAAATGAAAAGGAGCCTCATGAAGTTGTTGCCAAGAGCGCAATTCACGCGCGCACATGGTAGTCACACGAGTAGTTGAAGATGTGTTGACTGTTGCGACATGGAACTGCATAAGCCTTGGATATCGTATTCTTGCAATACTGAGTATGCTGTAGTGCTCAAGTCGTAGACAGATTGTTCACCATATATGCACAACTTTAATTTCCATCGATCTAGGTCTACCGACTACTCCAAACTTACGGATTCGTCAATCTCCGTGCTATTACATACCCCCATGGATGATCGATTCGATGGTCGACGATCAATAAACGCGTCTCGAGTCCTCATGTGATAAAAACCAGTCACTAGTCGCGTCGCATGACTTCAATAGAACAGAGAAAATATAATATATAATCGTGGATATGTAACATGATCATAGAAGTTCGTCAGGATATCGTGCTTTTCTGTGTAAGGGAGATAGAAAGAAGGCTCAGGAGAAAAAGAAAGAGAGGGAAGGAAGGAAGGAAAGTGGTGCGTCGCCGAGTGCAATAAACATTCAATAAAACAAGGAAAATGCTAAGCTACAGCGACGCGAGTAAAAAAAATGAGGTGTATGTATGGCGATACTTTTAGCC